TATATATATATATGAGAGTGTGTGTCGAGAGTCTATGGTAGGGAGCTACAATGTAGCCAACATGCGTGTGCACGTTCAGTTGGTAGAGAGCAAGCGGCCAGTCGTAACACTTAGAATGTAAGAAATGAATCTAGGATTATAATAAAGAGTTATTTTTAGTGTATTAACCCACCACTATTTTTTTTAATCCACCTAACATCAACAATAATGCCACGACACTCACGTTTCACCACGCTCATCATAGAGCACTCACGTCTACGTACTCATCATGGAGGCACCAAACTTACTTTTGCCGACATCAGGCAATCATACTGGATTCTTGGAGGCAGAGCTTCAGGCAAGACCTTCATTCTGCGCTGCATGTCATGTGCAAAGCAACGAGGCATTCGTGCTCAATAATTAATGGCACAGCTGCCGGTTAAGCGTGTCACCCCATCACGGTCATTTACTCACCCTGGTATTGACTACATTAACCGACTCACAATCAAATGCTAGAAAGGTCGTGGTGCGAAATCGACTAAATGCTGGATCTGCGTCTTCGTGTGCTTTACAAATTCTACAGTACACCTCAAGACTGTCAGCAATTACAACGCTGATGACTTCATCGCATCATCCAGACGCTTCTCATCCAAAAGAGGCATCCCACTCAGCCTGCATTCAGACTGCGGCACAAGCCTCGTAGGCGCGGACTCAATGTTGCAACACATGTTCACTCAATGCACTCAGGAACATCATGCCATCTCATTAGTGCCCACGAGCGACTACACCCAATGGCATTTTAATTCTCCTGCTGCACCACACATTAGTGTTAAGTGGGAAGCGGTGATGAAGTCAATCAAATTTCACCTTCGACGCACGATAGATTTTGTACTCACGTTCGAGGAACTCACAACGTTGCTATCACAAATTGAAACAACATTGAACTGAAGGCCACTCGAACCACTCAATGATGATCCTGACTATGCGTCTGCAATCACACCTAGGCATTTCCTAATCGAAAGCGCACTCTCATCTTTACCAGAACCATAATTGTTGAATTTTAACATTGACCGCCTGTCCAAATGGCAACTTATTCAACAGAAGTTCCAACATTACTAGAAGCAATGCAGTACTCACTATCTCCAGCGCATGTAATCAATCTCAAAATGGCATCATCCGTCCAACAACACCAAAGTGGGCTAATTAGTGCTTATCATTGATGAAACGTTCCTACCAAGCAAGTGGCCCTTGGCAAGGGTCAGCCCTCTAAATCCTGGCAAGAACGGCCTCATCAGAGTAGTCACCCTGAAGACTGCCAACTACACACTCACCAGGCCAATTGAGAAGCTTGAACCTACGTCAGCTATGGTCTTGTAAAAGGCAACGTCCGCTGACACGTGAGCAACGTCTATACACATAGCGACCAACCTAGCAATCATATGGAATATTGTAAGGCAATGGAGGTGTAACATATTGGCAGAAAGCACAAAATCCAAAGGTTGGAAGGTGCACTCATTCGATGACGAAGTTTTCCGTCTGGCGTGCGAACACGATGACATTGAAAGAATACCGTAGAAGCATTATCCGATAAACTAATGAGACAGCTAACAAGCGCTTGCGATGCCCAGAAACGGAAAAGGGAATCCCCACTCCCCAGTCTACTGGTGAAACAACACGGTAACTGAGCTCCGCAAAGACTGCAACTGGGCACAGAGGAAAGCACAACAAGCCAGGAAAAAACCTGCCTATCCAGCTCTGGAAATGAAGTACAAGGAGACACGTTGCAGGCTATGGAAAGCAATGAATAAAAGCAAAAGGTACTCCTGGACAGAACTTATTGACGAAGTACAAAACGCCCCCCGTGGGGCCGCCCTTACAGAGTCGTGATGACGAAACTGAAAAGCCAATCACGTCAACAGCCGACTTGCCCCAACCAGTTGAAGGACCGTAGTTTCTACACTGTTCCCACAACGGAAGGAAATGTACTGTGTTGTTACAACCGACGACAACGAAGTCATTTCCCCGAATACTAGCGAGGAATTACACCAAGCCTGTGAAAAGGTGGGCAACAAGAAGACGCCCGGAATGGACAACATACCGAACGCAGCGTTTAAAACGGCAATCAAGGAAATTCCATAGCAGTTCTTAGATGTATATAATTCACGTCTCAGTAAAAGTATCTTCCCTGAGCGCTGGAAATGACATGGACTAGTTCTACTGCCTAAGAGCAACAGACGAGCCATCATCCTACCGCCTTCTGTGCATGCTGGATACTGCTAAAAAGGTGCTAGAGAGAATCGTCCAAAACCAGATTGAAGCTGCCATTGGCAACCTTCTCGCGGACAACCAATATGGCTTCAGGAAATCCAGATCAACGATAGATGCCATCAAACGCGTAGTTAGGATAGCCAGAGAAGCTACTGCAGGGAAAAAAAAAGGTACTAAGAAGTATTGCCTTCTTGTGGCACTTGACATAAGAAACGCATGCAACACTGCGCGATGGGATGCCATTAACTCAGCAATAGATATACTGCAAGTCCCTAAGTACCTGAGACGGATTGTTGGGAACTACCTCGAAGACCGATATCTCATGTACGACACGGATGATAGCCCACAAGAGTGCCGAGTCACTGGAGGGATCTCTCAGGACTTAGCTGGCCCCAAGCGAGCTGAGCACAAAACTGAAGCAGTGCTGGTCTCAACACGGACGAAAGCAGAGACTATCATACTCATGGTGGGAGAGTACTCTATTACATCAGTAATATGAGCGGCTCAATTATGATCTGGTGGTGTATAGAAGCAGGCAGCACCGGGAATTTAATCGTCACAGAAGGAAAAATGGATAAATATAAATATTTAAACATTTTAAAACACAGAATTTAAAGGAAAGTGCAAGAAAATTGGATATTTATGAAGATTTTTACTTCCAACAAAATAATGATCCTAAACATACTGCAGGAATTGTTAAGGAATGGATAATATAAAATACTCCTCACATGTTAGTCCAATTGAACATTGTTTGAGAATCAGCCTTGTTGCTCAGCAGAACTTAACATCGCGATCGGCCCGCATGAAAACTTTCGCCAAAAACTTCCTCATGACCTCTGACACGCATGCGTGATCTTTTCCACTTCTTCTCTGGAAGTAACGGCCATTACCGGCCATTGTCAATCCACTCGTGAATTCGTTCGCACGTGCCTTGGTTTACTTTTTATTTTCTCTATCTTTTCAAGAGTGCTTATCTTCATTTAATGAGGCATCTCAGCTAAACTCATCGGTCTTCTCAAGTAGTGATTGACGCATCGGTGCTACAATTGACATAAAGCGCAGTCCGTGCATCACCATTTTACTCATCTCTCCTCATGACGTGCCGACCACGTGCGACAAATCGCTAACCAATAGACAATTCAACGACTCACCTCACAGTGCATAAATAATATCTCTGTGTGGGAGCACTCAAATTGAGCAACTCTTCGGACTGTACTCATATTACCTTACATTTTATCATTAAAGGCATTTTCGTATTAACACTCACATAGTTAGTTTTATTTCTTCAACCTTTGTAGCAAATCCCTTTGTTACTAGCGCAACATCAGCAGGGCAATTTTTGAAACAGGAACATAATTTTATTGTATCATGTGTAAGTCAAACATGATATAACTTACGTCAATAGGAACACCGGATGGACGAACTTTTAGAATACCATCTGAATACTAACCTATAAGTGGACACAAAAAAATTATGAAAACTAGCAACTATTCTAAAATAAAAAACGTATTAACAAAAAGACATCAAACAAGAAAAATATGGATAACCTTGACTGAAGACATATCAAGGACATATTTAGGTACAGAGTTAAACTTACAGTTTAACAACGGTTACCTAGAAGAAAAAGAGAATATAGAAAAAAAAACAAACATCACAAAATCTATATGTAACGATTCAGATCAAAGGTTAAAAGAACATAAACAGATTAGATTTGAAATTCATGATTTAGGAACGGTTGCGAAAAAATTCGTAATAGGAAAATTCATTGGGAAAAATTTAAATGTGAAACAGTGGATAAGAACTTTTAATGAGGAATTTAAACGCTTTTAAATTAAACAGGAGAGAGAAAAAATTGAAATTATAAGATATAATAATCAATATTCTTGTCCCAACAGTAAATTAATATATATGAGTTTCAAAGGGAAAATTGAAGACAGTTAATAAATTTTGATGAACAAATTTATTTGATCTTGTTGAACGTTTCGTCCCTTACTG